TATATTTCTGAATTGCCCACATCAAATATTTCTGAATAGGCCAGTTAACAGTTGTCATGGGCCATAGGTTGGTTAGGCTGTGCAGAAATCTCTCTCTCTTTCTCTTACAGACACGTACGTCTGATGTACTGAATAACCTGATTTGATCTCCAAAATACCACAGCTGGTGAGACACTTGTCATTCTTTAGTATCCTTCCCCATCCTAAATGTTCTGGATTGTTTCAATCACTTGAAACATTTAAAAAAAAACCCAACTGTAAACATTGTTTATTTACTGAGAAAACTTAATTTAACTTTCAGTTAAATAGTCTCCCTTTGATCAGTAAAATATCTAAATAAGTATAGTTTCTCACAGTGCCATGGGCCAAACTTGTTATGCTTTGGATGTCATCCTTTTTTTTTTCAAAAAGTAGTCATGGGAGTGATTTGGTATGGGCCAAAAGGAAGGGATTTAACCTTTCCCTCCATGCAGAAGTTTTGACACAGATCTTCCCCCGAGGGCTGATATTTATCATGGATGGGAAAGCATATAAAAGCAAAGTTTGCCCATATGCTTTCCACACCATGGTAATATAGCCATTTTCTGTGTGTTTGCAATTTAAGTTAGAGAAGGGGCATGGGGTCAATATGTTTATCTAACAGAGGCTGATGGTCTCCGCAGGGCAGGGCTCATCCTACCATACCATTGCAGGATGAGGGAGCCACCTGGCTAAACCAAAGGCTGGCAGTGTTTGCACCCTCATCACATACTCACCAATCCAAATTCCTTTCCCTAATCAATACTTTTTTTAAAAAAAAAGTTTCTGCATGATGAACTAAAGTGTCGTTATGGTAATGAAAGGAACATATATCATAGCAGCAATTCCTGTCACTGAGTTCCTGAAATACACTGGCAAAACCTTCACAGATGCAAAGTATCTAATAATCAATATCAAATAACACATCCTTTCATCATTAAAAAAAATCATTCCATTTATAATCATTCTGTAACTAAATATTTAGATATTGAGGATTCAATGAAATAACGATTTTTTGTCAAAACTCAAAACAATGACTCTTCTCTCACAGTTTGACAGTAATTAGTTATTAATTATGATGGGAGAGAGGAGGGATCAAATACATTATTTCTTTTTCTCAGCGGGTTACTCTTGGATAAACACTTTGTCGCCCATGCCTATTCTCCAACGTAACTTGCTTTGTAAATCAGTATGAAATGAAGATCTCATATAGTTTTGTGAACCGAAGGGAAAGCTCTTGAGGACAAAAATCATAGTTTAGAGAGTTTTGTTGTGTGTCTTTCAGTCGTTTCTGACTGATAGCAATTCTATCATGGAGTTTTCTTTTTTCTTTTTTTAATTATTAGTTATAATAACACACCATATGATACATTGTCATTGTTCCATTTCAACAATACACAGTTATCTATTGTCAAAATGAGTAGAAAGGAAAATTACATATAGCTCTATAGATAACATTAGTAATCATAAATAAGTATCTTTATTTTCCTTTAAAACTCATTGTCATCCTTCATTTTGTTTCAATTCCTTATTTTACAATACATTTCTTACAAATCTGTTACCACTATCACTTATTATCCTATCCTCTACCATTCTTCTCTTCCATATATCTTCATTCCAAATGTACACTTCTTCCTCCATTTCTCTCTTTCTTCTACATACATTCTTCCTAATGCCTTCTACTACCTTCTGCCTTCTACTACTTCTCTCTATCAACTAACTCCAATTCCTTCATTCTATTCAGTCTTCCTTTTTTTACCTCCTCTTTCTCTATCTTCTCCTCTTCTCTTACCTTCTAT